CTAAAGGTGAGCCTCTCTTGTCCCTTCGTCTCTGCCTCTTTATTATTACATCTTACTAAGAAGCCCTATGATCTGGTTTTGAAGGCCTTGCCAAGTTAGCTACAGAAAGCACAGGAGTCCCATCATGTTTAATGTCAGGACAAACAGCCTTATGTTCAGTTATACTAGGGTATTTTAAGACTTATGTCAGTGATGTATATAAACCCTTAGTTATTTAAAAAAAAAAGAACACAAGGTAACTCTTTACTGTTACCTGTTTAAGAAATGGGAGCAATGACCTGACTTTCAGATAAGTCAAAGTGGTGTTCCTAAAGGATGCTCAGGTCTACCTGTGTACCCAGGAAGCAGCCTTCCAAGCCAGTTTATAAACCAGGTGCTTCAATTGTGGGTAAGATTTAGAACTGATGTTAAGACTTGACTTACTGTATGTAAATACATAACTTGATTTATATACAGAATTCCTCCCTAGAGGAAGAGGTGGTTCTAAGGTGGGTTTTTTTTGTTGTTTATTGGTTTTTTTTTTTTAAACCAGTGGGAGTAATACCAGAGATCATTAGTGTTTTCCTCTGTAAGGATGATAAGCCTTTAATTTATCACTGCACTTGCTGCTCTTATGATTTTAATTTTGTTAATTTCTAGACTACATGAAGCTATTTTTTTTTTTAATTACGTGTAATTTCCACTGTTAGAGTGAACTGAGTGTAAAAAAACATTAATTCTAAAAAGAGACAACACTGTTTTCGACCCCCATCAGAGGTACCCAAAAGTTCAGGTACTTTCAACTCTGCTGATTCTCACATTATTTACCTCCATATCATTAAATAACTTGCTTTATTTTGCTATGTGTTGGCTCTTCAATTTTTAGTATTATCTGTTGACTTTTTGGTGTGGAAAATGAGGATTTAGCCCTTTTTCACCATCCTGCTATTCCCATGGACACATCCTTGCCATCTCAAGGTTCTTTTACAGTTATGGTTTAGGCTAACTCAGTAGTTTATACGTTAAGGCTTTTCACAACGAGACCATGTGGTATACTGCAACAACTTTTTTTTCTGTATAACTTTTGAGGGGGGAGAGGTTTTCATTTGTGTTTTGTTCTTGTCGCTAATTTCTCCCCAGGCTCTCCTTCATTTGTGCCAGCTTCCTTACAGTATGTTCAGATTCATTAAGTATTCATTCTTAGAAATGTCTTATTTTGGTATATTCCAGTTTGGACTTGGTGTCGTGGATCCCTTCACTGTCATATTGTGTGTTAATCTCCTGCCTTCTTTCTTAATTTATTACCACTACCTTCCTGAAAAAGTGTATGGGAGATAATTTCTTGAGATCTTGAGTGTCTGTTGTCACACTTGAATCATAGGTTGACTTGGTGTAGAGTTCCAGGTTGGGAGTAACTTTTCCTTAGAATTATTTTTTAAGGCATTGGCCCATTGTTTTCTGTCTTCCAAATGCTGAGAAGTGCAATGATACTCTGATTCTTAATTTTTTGTATGTGTCCATTCCATCTCATTCCCTCCCCAGAACTCTTAGTATTCTTCCCTTTTTATGTAAAATTTGAAATTTTCCCAATAATGTATCCAGAAAGCTGGGTACTTTAAACTCGGAAAAATACGAAAAAATATGGAAGGTCAAGTTCTTCAGTCTGGGAAATTTCCTTGAGTTGTTTCTGGATTTCCCCAACTCCCTTTTTCATTCTGAAAAACAAGTTATTTGGATTTTGGACTTCCTGGATTAGTCTTCCAATATTCTTATATTCCTCTGTTTTCTCTGTTTATTCTTCCTTCTAGAGATGTCCTAAACTTTTTTTTTACTATCTATTTTGTTTTCTTTTTTTCTACTGTCATATTTTTTTAATATCCAAGAGCTTTTTGTGTTTGAATATTCCTTTTTCTGGACATCTTTCATACTAAAGTCCTCTTCAAATTCTTGCTTGTCTGCTCTTTTTAAAAAGGACCCTAAAAAGGTGATTGGAAGGTCTTTTGGGGGTGGGGTAGAGAATTATTGAATGTGGGCTTCATTCTCCTGTGATCTGGCTGAGTTGTTAACATTATGAAGTCCCTGATATCAGTATTTTTAAATCTTTTCTGTGTAGGTAAGGTTTCCTTGAGAAGGCTTTTATGTTCTTGGAAGAATATAAGCCAGGCTGCCAGACTTCTGGGAGTCAAGTGAGGAAAAAAGGCTCAGAGGTTTAACCTTCAGTTCAGTTCAGTTGCTCAGTCGTGTCTGACTTTGCAACCCCAAGGACTACAGCATGCCAGGCCTCCCTGTCCATCATCAACTCCCGGAGTTTACTCAAACTCATGTCCATTGAGTCGGTGATTCCATCCAACCATCTCATCCTCTGTCATCCCCTTCTCCTCCCGCCTTCAATCTTTCCCAGCATCAGGGTTTTTTCCAATGAGTTAGTTCTTTTCATCAGGTGGCCAGAGTATTGGAGTTTCAGCTTTAGCATCAGTTCTTCCAATGAATATTCAGGACTGATTCCCTTTAGGATGGACTGGTTGGATCTCCTTGCTGTTCAAGGGACTCTCAAGAGTCTTCTCCAACACCACAGTTCAAAAACATCAATTNCTTGCTTTTTCGATGATCCAACAAATGTTGGAAATTTGATCTCAGGTTCCTCTGCCTTTTCTAAATTCAGCTTGAACATTTGGAAGTTCATGGTCCATGTACTGTTGAAGCCTGGCTTGGAGAATTTTGAGCATTACTTTTGCTAGCGTGTGAGATGAGTCCAGTTGTGAGGTAGTTTGAACATTCTTTGGCATTGCCTTTCTTTGGGATTGGAAAATAACCTGCAGTACATAAACTTAATACTTTTGTTTTCAGTTAGGTATCCAAGACTTAACTGGGCCTGATCCTCTGCAGTTTAGATAACCATGTATTTTCCCTCTCAAGTCTAGGACCTACTTTAGGGAGGGGCAGTTCATTCCCTACACAGAAAAGGGAGGAGACCAGGGATCTGTTTGCTTCATAAATAGCCCTTCACCATCTTTTAGCCCCACCTTTGCCTCATTCACCACCAGGGATTCCCTGGTGGCTCAGAGGATAAAGTGTCTACCTGCAATGCTGGTAGACCTGGGTTTGATCCCTGGGTTGGGAAGATCCCCTGGAGAAGAAAATAGCAACCCACTCCAGTACTCTTGTCTAGAAAATTCCATGGATGGAGGAGCCTGGTGGGCTACAGTCCATAGGGTCACCAAGAGTCAGACACGACTGAACGACTTCACCTCATTTTTGCCTCATTCAGTTACATGTATGTTGTGTGCTCAGTTGTGGAGTGGATTGCCACTTCCTACTCCAGGGGATTTTCCCAACCCAGGGATTGAACCTGTAAGTCTTGTGTCTCCTGCATTGGCAGGTGGGTTCTTTACCACTAGCGCCACCTGCAAAACCCCATTCAATTACATGTTGTCATATAACTAATTCAACTTGAGCCTTTAGGGAATTCTAAGATGGAATTCATCTTCTTTCATCTATGTTAAAATTTTGTTTTTTCATCTATATTTATAGGTTATTGCCTTTTAAAAATCTACTTTAAAATAGTAAACTTTATTCCTTTCTGAAACCTTACTAAAATAGTAAATTGTAATAGTAAATATTAAAATAGTAAATTGTAATAGTAAATATTAAAATAACTTATTTTAATATTTTCTATTACAATTTACTGTTTTAGTAAGGTTTCAGAAAGGAACAGAGCTTCTTGTATCTATTCTCCCATATGCTATCTTTAGCTAATACTCTGCCTGAAATGTGTATATCTCATTTTTCTTTCAGGGTAAGATACCTTTACTGTATCCAGACAGAAAAAACTGTGCAGGCCTTCGCTTCATATTCTTTATTTGTAACAGGTAGTGCAGAAACTAGACAAAATGGAGTAAACAATCTGGAAAACTTACCTGAAACCTCAAGTGTAGTTGAATTTCGAAGTGTTATGACTCGTTTTTTGTCCCTGACTTTTCTTTAAATCCAGTGTGCATTTCTGTACACTTATTTTACCAGTATCACAATCAAGAGCTAATTATGCTAAATGTATGTGGCCCAGCTTTAAGAACTGGAGAGTTTGATGAAGGTGACCTTACTTGCGCCTTTGAGTTCCTAGTCTTTACGGTCGAGAGGGAATATCTATTTCAGTTTTTCCACATTGTTTTGTTCTCTAGCCAGTCTCTTTCCCAGACTTTATTTTCCCACCTAAACTGGTTATTCTGCTTTTAAACTGCATCGTAAAAACGCAGCGTTTTTGCTTATATCTGCCTGTTTCTTACACATTAAAGACAGTGGGTAGAACTAAGCTATGCAGTTGCACTTCCTTCACAAAGGTTGAGTGGGAGGTATTGTTTTGGTGCCAGTTCGGACAAGACAGGGCAAAATTGGTTTTCTTGACATTATCTCAAGGCACAAAACAATAGCATTCTTCACCCGGATGCCTTCCCACCCCTCTGCGGTGCGGCCAGTGTTCGATGCTTCTCGCTCACATCACAAAGTTCCTTTCATGCTAAACAGGATCAATTCTCAACAGCTGTTCCCAGCTTCTAGGCTCCAGTTCTACCTGGGCCGAGCTTTAAAGTCACTGAAGCAGCTCTTACGGCGTGTGATCCTGGTTACCCTGCCAGGCTACGGGGCGAGGTGCTCGGGGGTTCGGGGTGGCGGGCAGCGAGCCCCGCGGTGCCGCTCTCCCCGGGAGCGCGAGGCTGGACGGCGGAGTCACAGGCCGGATCCCAGTTCGCGTTTGGGCCCGGAGGTCATTCGCAACCGATGCAGTCCGCAGTTCCAAAACCTCTTAGGCCAGGATCTAGTCCCAATTCCAAAGTAACCCTGGTCCTGCCGGTCTCCGCCGGCATGGAGGACCAACGCTGGCCCCAGGAGCTGCCAATCCGCAGGTCCGCCGGGCCGGGAACGCGCACCTCTTTGCTTTACGGCAAGGGAGCGCGCGTTTGCGACAATGTGACGCCAGCAAGTTTTGGCGGGAAAAGCCCTGCATTTGGATTCCTGTGGTGGCGGGCAAAGGACGGCCTGGTGAGGAAGGGCGGCCGGTAGAGTGGGAAAGGCGCCTGGAGCTGGAGTTCGGGGACCACATGATTTAGGAGGGGCACGGCGACAGGACGTTCTCGGTTCCGATCCCAAAGGATCGGAAAGGCTCCCTCGGAGGCGTGGTTTTAGGAGGGTGGAGGAGTATGGTGGCGGGGGTCCTCGTTATACCGGGACTGGAGAGAAGCCTCCTCTGCTGGCTGGGAGCCCCCAAGGTTTGGGGCCCGGCGGCCCGGGTGCCACCCAGCCCTTCCTTCCGCTTCTTGGGGCAGTTTGGCCCCGCCCCGGGCTCCTCCTGACCTTGGGGACGGGGTAGAGGTGGGAATTGGGAGTGAGCGGGTGGGGAGGGGTGGCTGCGGTCCCCGCGGTTATTTCCTCCTCCACTAGCCCTCGTCCGCTTACCCTAACCCGAGACTTCCCTTCTCACCCTCTTCACCAGTCCCCGCCGTACGGCACTGGTCGCCCTCCTCAGCGCTGCTAGTACATTTCCTCTGCCGCCTGGAAAGCGGGGTTTCAGCTTCGGGTTTGCGTGGCAGTGGGGCTTGTGAGTTATCAATCAAATGCCGCGGTTTAGGATACTTGCTCATGCTTTAAAAGGCTTGGATAGAATACGGATGATGTGAAACCAGGAGCTGTGATTTATCTTGGGGGAATCACGACAAGAGGCGGAGCTCAGAGGCTTCAGAAATGATTGAAGCTCGTCCTCACCAACCGTCTTTTCTGGGTTCCTGCTTTTACAGCCGCGGGACTTAGTGGAGTCATGGCAGTGCCCTTTGTGGAAGACTGGGACTTGGTGCAAACCCTGGGAGAAGGTGCCTATGGAGAGTGAGTCTGAGTCCGTCTTACCCGCCTTCACACTTGCTGTAGTTTTCTGTCTCCTTTGAGTACATATTCATTGTTCTGGAATTGTTTGTTTAAACACTGTGGCACCCAAAAGAACAGATCTTTGCATGCAAATTCCGAAACTTTGGGAAACTGAAGCTACACAATCTTTTGTAAGGGTTAACTGTTTGTTTTTTCTTCTTTTTGGGGGAGGCGGGGGTGGGTGGTACAAAACAGAGCAAAACAAAACATTTTTTCCCTAAAATTTAGAGATTTCTGAAGTCCGTTTTCTCCTCCCATATATTCTTTAATGGGGTTTGAACATAGTGGTTAAATGAGCAAATGAACAGACTCTGGAGCCACATTACCGGCCTTTGTTTTGTGAAGTTTATGCAAGCTCGCTCTTTTTTGGCCGTGCCATCCTGCTTTCCGGGAGGCGGACCAGAAATTGAACCTGTGCCTCAAGCAGTAGAAACATGGGGTGGGGTCTTAACCAGGGGACCACCAAGGAAATCCCTCGGTGAGCTTCCAAATATCCTTGTGTGCCTGTTTTTTCAGCTGTAATATGGCAGGAATAGTCCATATCCTGTAGGTACTTAGAACATTTACCATAGACATATATACTATTAGATTAATAAATGTTAGGTTATGTTATTAAAATTAAATGAATAGAGCAAGAATGAAATCTTGACATTTGGGACAACATGGACCTGGAGGGTATTATGCTAAGTTTAAATAAGTCAGACGGAGAAAAACAAATACTGTATGGTTTCACTTACTAGATGAAACAAAACAAATGAACAAATGTAACAAAAGAGAAACAGAGTTAAAACAAACAGGTAGTTGCCAGAGGGGAGGGTGGTGGGAGGAGGAGAGAAATACTTGTACAAACCTCTAGTTGCAAAATAAGTCTCCAGTATGAAATGTACAGTTGGAGAGTATAGTCAGTAATTATGTAATATCTTTGCATGGTAGGTTATCCTAACTAGACATACAGTGGTGATCATTTTGAAATGTATACAAATATCAAATCACTATTTCGTAATGAACTAACACAGCATTATAAGGCAATTATACTTCAAAAACAGACTCATAGAAAAAGAGAAGGTATTTCTAGTTATCAGAGCAGGGTGTTGGGGGAGGGAGATTTGGATGAAGATGGTAAAAAGGTACCAACTTCCAGTTGTAAGATAAATAAGTTCTAGGGATATAATGTACAACATGATTAATATCACTAACACTGCTATATGTTATACATGAAATTTCAAATAGTAAGTACTAAGAGTTCTCATCACAAGGGAAGTTATTTTTCTATTTTTAAAATTTTTTATCTAAAAAATGATGGATTGTCACTAAATTTATTGTGATAATCATTTCAGTGCTTTATGTCAATTATAGCTCAGTAAAACTGGAAGAGAAATTAAATGAATAGAGCATGTATATGTGTGATGGCTTAGTATTGCTGTTATTCCATTTTAATTTATCAAATGTTTATATATTACTTTTGGATGTACAACATAATGACTTCTTTGGAGCATTAGCTATTATACTTCACATTTCAGAAAGGAGTATTATCTGTTGAGGACATGGCAGAAACCACTCCCGTGGTTTCTTCCAGGTGGCGAAAGTAATAAAGGTAAAATAGTTTTGGATGAGTTATGTTTAATCTTTTGAAGTTTTAAAAGAAATACAGTTCAAATGTCTGGAATATTGTATTTCTTCCTTTTTCTTTTTAGAGTTCAACTTGCTGTGAATAGAAGAACTGAAGAAGCAGTTGCAGTGAAGATTGTGGATATGAAACGTGCCATAGACTGTCCAGAAAATATTAAGAAAGAGATCTGTATCAACAAAATGTTAAATCATGAGAATGTAGTGAAATTTTACGGTCACAGAAGAGAAGGCAATATCCAGTATCTATTTTTGGAGTACTGCAGTGGGGGAGAACTTTTTGATAGAATAGGTATGGAAAAAATTTCAGATAATTCTTCTGCTAAATAAGTTTTTAAATTTGTCTTAATTTGGGGGTTTCTGTTTGTTCACTGTCTATTCAGAATTGCTTATGCGAGCAGCGCTGGTGGTATAGTGGTGAGCATAGCTGCCTTCCAGAATTGCTTATGCAATAGTGAAACGAGTAAATATTTTTGTTTTTGCAACTTATATCTACACTGAATGCATATGTAGAGTCATCAAAGAAATTTTTCCCCAAGTTGTATATGTAATTTTGATTGGCATTTCTGTTTTGTAAAGTTTAAGAATGATAAGCTGTGGTTTCTTGGTGCGTGAAGTATCATAAGTGCAATGTATTTTATGCCTATGCAGTTTTTTTCTTTGTAGACGTTCTAGTTTCATGAAATCGTTGCATTCATTTACAGATCTGAAATAAGAGGTTGTTATATAAGTGAAATAATTGAGAAGTTTATAGGATTTATTTATATATATACAAACTGTTTTTGCTACTTAAAAGTCTTGATATTAAAGAATACCGAGAAGTACATAAAATATATTCTGTGGACCTAAATTTATTATTTAGATATACTGTATTAATAGTTAAAAAGTGATTATTAGAATCTCCAAAAAAATGTATCTCAGAAAAGAGTTGAGTATAAAAGAAATAAGTTCACAGACATGTATGGCTTTGTGGTGTGAGAAATTATATGAAATTTAAATTTGTTGTTAAATATTTAGGAAATCAGCTTAGATTTGCTAGGCTTCCACTTTGACAATTACAATTCAGGAGAAGAGAAAATATTGGCATAACATTTAGAAGAAATTAGTGGTGAATTTGAAGGATATCAAGTAAATCATAAGTAGTACAAGTCAGGGCTTTCAAGGTATATCTTGCATTCTTGATTTGGGTTATATTTTGTTATTCTCTAATTTTCCTGTGGTGTTAACTTATTTTTGCCACTTAACAGTTGGGGAAATGTGAGTTGTTAGCAATGTATGTATTAGTGGACTCCAGAGTTATTTCATTGTAAGCATTAGATTCTTTTTGCAAAAGTACAATCATAGATGTTTAACTTTAGAATTAGGAGGACTATGTGGTTGATGCCTGACTATATTTACCTGATAAACTAACTTTCACAATTAATTTTTTAGAGCCAGACATAGGCATGCCTGAACAAGATGCTCAGAGGTTCTTCCATCAACTTATGGCAGGGGTGGTAGGTACAGGGGTCTCTTTTCCTTTTATTTAAAATTAGTTTTAGTGAAATAAGTTACTCTGTTCTGGTATGCTTCCCTCTGCTTCTCTTTTAGGTTTATCTGCATGGTATTGGAATAACTCACAGGGATATTAAACCAGAAAATCTCCTATTGGATGAAAGGGGTAAGTTGAGTATTTTGTCACTGCTACCAAAATCATTTTAATACAGCCATACAAAAGCAGGATCAAGGCTTTTGCATTACTGAAATTTCAGGGCAGCTTCTTAATTTGCCACTCAGTTATGGTAAATATTCAGTAAGTATAGTTAAGGTGAAAGTTCTGCCTACAGTTTGTGTGTCTTAAAGGTGGGAAGTTAGAGAGGAAATTTGCTCTTCTTATTTGTTTTTTGTACAGAGTTCCTCCTCCTTTTATAAACATAGCCATCTTGATGAGAAGCTCTGGAGGCTTGTGGATCTTAAGTTTCTGTGTGTCTTTATATGCTTCCTTCCAGCCAGCTGGGTTTTTACATCTCTGAGAAAGTTGTGCCTAGAGTATTATTGATACCTCCTGCCTCTGCACAGCCGGGTGAGGACATGGCTCTGCTCTCAGTGTTTAAGTGCTCTTTTCTAGAAGACCCTTTTGACTCTAGGATCTTTCTTTAACCTGGTCCATGCTGTTTGTATATTGACAGTATTTGTCTTAAGTTAGTAGAAGCCATGAGGCCTTTTTCTAGTTTTAGTTATATGATGATGTCTTTTATTTCTTCTTTATTACAATTTATTTTTGATCACTTTAAGGTAGAGAAGCTCCACAAATCTAAAATGACACCAGCAGTTTTCCAGTAAACCTTGACTCCTTTTAGTATTTGTGTGTGTGCTCAGTTGGGTCTGACTCTTTGTGACGTTAGAGAGGAAATTTGCTCTTCTTATTTGTTTTTTGTACAGAGTTCCTCCTCCTTTTATAAACATAGCCATCTTGATGAGAAGCTCTGGAGGCTTGTGGATCTTAAGTTTCTGTGTGTCTTTATATGCTTCCTTCCAGCCAGCTGGGTTTTTACATCTCTGAGAAAGTTGTGCCTAGAGTATTATTGATACCTCCTGCCTCTGCACAGCCGGGTGAGGACATGGCTCTGCTCTCAGTGTTTAAGTGCTCTTTTCTAGAAGACCCTTTTGACTCTAGGATCTTTCTTTAACCTGGTCCATGCTGTTTGTATATTGACAGTATTTGTCTTAAGTTAGTAGAAGCCATGAGGCCTTTTTCTAGTTTTAGTTATATGATGATGTCTTTTATTTCTTCTTTATTACAATTTATTTTTGATCACTTTAAGGTAGAGAAGCTCCACAAATCTAAAATGACAACAGCAGTTTTCCAGTAAACCTTGACTCCTTTTAGTATTTGTGTGTGTGCTCAGTTGGGTCTGACTCTTTGTGACGCCATGGACTGTAGCGTGCCAGGCTCTTCTGTCTATGGGATTCTCCAGGTGAGAACACCGGAGTAGGCTGCGATTTCTTCCTCCAGGGATCTTCCCTACTCAGGGACTGAGCCCGAGTCTTGTGCATTGGCAGGTGTATTCTTTTGCCACTGCGCCACCTGGGAAGCCCCTGTAAGTGTACCTGTTTACCAAACATTCTCATTCGGCACCATCCTTTTTTCCTTTGACTTAGATAACCTCAAAATCTCTGACTTTGGCTTGGCAACCGTGTTTCGGCATAATAATCGGGAGCGTTTGTTGAACAAGATGTGTGGTACTTTACCATATGTTGCTCCAGAACTTCTAAAGAGAAAAGAATTTCATGCAGAGCCAGTCGATGTTTGGTCCTGTGGAATAGTACTTACTGCAATGTTGGCTGGAGGTAAGAGCTATTTAATCATGATAAAATTCCTGTCCTTTGAAAAACCAGGTTTCCTGTACCAAAATAAATGAAATAAATCAAGGAGTTCCATATTTATGTGATAGTATTTTAATATTAACCTATTTATAACTAAGTTGGAACTTTTAATCCCAAAGATTAAAAAAAAAATGATTTATGTGTAGCTATTAAATGAAATATCACAATAGCTCTCTCTTAAAATTATGTGAATACTTTTGGAAATAGTAAGGCAGAAGTGGATTATCTATCTTAGAAGTGTCTTTAAAATTTCTTAAACCATGTTTAATTAATTTGAAGGAAACTTTTAATGGATTTGTGTCACTGATTATTTTCCCTTAAAATCGTTACTGTAAAATGATTTGAACATTCAGAAAACTGAGTCTTGTTTCCTTTTAGAATTGCCGTGGGACCAGCCTAGTGATAGTTGTCAGGAATATTGTGATTGGAAAGAAAAGAAAACATACCTCAATCCTTGGAAAAAAATTGATTCTGCTCCTCTAGGTAACTGGGTTATCTTGAATGTAAAGTACTGATTTCCTGGTTAATGAAGCCTAGTGCTGTTTGAATTTTTTTCTTACATATTTTTTTCTTTTTAACTTTTAATTCATTATATAAATAATACATGATCTTTGTAGATAAAGTAGAAAAATAATAAATAAAATATTAAAATCCAGCCCTATAATTCTAGTACTCAGAAATAGCTTCCTTTAATATTTTGATATCTGCATGTGTTTTGTAGTAGAAAATATGTAAGTATATATGTTTGTTATATATGTATATTATTTATAAGTATTTTTTTCACACAAAAAATGACATCACACTATACATGTTATTTTGTAAACTTTCTGTGAGTATGTGTGTTAATGCTAAGTGAACACTTTTTCATGACTATACTTGTAAGTATTCATCACTGTTTTTAAAAGCTGTGATGGTATTTTGCTATATGGACATGCCTTACTATACTTCTCCAGTTCACCTTTTTAGAGATTCAGAATTTTTTCTAATTTTTCACTGTTGTGAAAGAGATACGATGATCATCTGTATACCTTAATCTTTGTACATATGTCTCAGTTATTTAAAGTGAAACCCCAGAAGTGGAATTGCAGGGTCAAAGATGTATACAGTGTTTAATTATTATGGTTTACTTTGCCAAATTGTTTTCCAGAAAGTTTGTACCATTTCATCACAGTCTACCTAGTTTACATGTAAGCTATTTTTTGGCTACACCTTGAGGCATGAGTCTTTGTTTTCCCACCAGGGAATGAACCTGTACCCTTGCAGTGTAATCAGGGAGTCTTAACCGCTTGACCACCAGAGAAGCCCCTTAAACATTTTTCTTTTTGACTAATCTAATAGGCCAACCTGTAAGAAATATATTCTAACTTTAAAATTTTTATTTTAAATTTAGTATCAATGAAGTTTTATGGATTTATTAGCTTTTTAATCTATTTTTGTGGACTTGTCTATTTTGCTCATTTTTGGTAGGAAGCTTTCCTTTTATTCTATATGAAGTTTTTAAGAAAATATTAGTGTCATTATATCATTGCATTTGTTACAAATATTTTTGACAGTTTGTCATGCATTTTTACTTTGTTATGCTATTTTGACATACAGAAGTTTTATATTTTATTTATTTAAATCTAGTGTCTTATCCTTTTTGATTTCTGACTGTATTGTCATGTTTGGAAAGGTCTTTTCTACCCTCAACAGTAGAAAAAAATTACCTATGTTTTCATGGCTTTTGTTTTGTTTTGTTTTCCATTTAAATCTTTGGTCCATTAGAAGAGTTTTTTGGTGTTGGGAGATGTATGAATTCTTTATCAATTAATTAAGGTCTTAGGATGATGGTTGTTTTTATTACTGTCTCTTAAAAAGTTACTGGAAAGTAAATTTTCATTATAAAATTGTGTGAATGAGAACTTAGTATGACATGTTAGAACAATGAAGTTTGGTATTGAAAATGATGAGGTTTTTTTTATCTTTGTGTAAATAGAGGTTTTCTGGTTTGTGTTTTGTTTTTGTATCTTTGTGTAAATATCATCAAGTGGAGAGAAACATTTCCGCCCAGCTCTTGTTCTATTTACAAACAACTGTGAGTCTGGTCTGGGAAGAATATTCAAAGATATAGACAGTAGCAAGGAATAATTGCATGACATTCAAGCAAAAATTTGGTGGCTTTGTTTTCTCTTCCCCAGAAGTAGTATTTGGACCTAACGAGAGCAATAGGGAATGTGTGTTTTACACCACAAGCTATAGGCTTTTCTAATCTGCATGAATCTTGTAAATGTTGTCTTAATATTTTGTTTTCAGCTCTGCTACATAAAATCTTAGTTGAGAACCCATCAGTAAGGATTACCATCCCAGACATCAAGAAAGATAGATGGTACAACAAACCACTCAAGAAAGGTAATATGCTTAAAATACAAGTTTAAAAAAAATTTATTTATTTATTTTTTTCTGTGAAAGAGAAGGTACTTGTAAAGTCAGCATAAGTCAACAACACAAGATAGCTGTGGCCTCTGTCCTCGTGGAGATGATAGCCTCTAGTACAAAAAACAGAAGTATAAAAAATAATTTTTAGTTCGTTAATAATTATAAAGTAGAAAGTCAGGGTACTGTAGCTAAGAATTTGACCGAGTCTTCTTTTTTTAGCCTTTTCATTTTGTATTGGAGTATAGCTGATTAACAATGTGGTGATAGTTTCAGGTGCAGCAAAGGTGCAGCCACACATATACGTGTATCCACTCTCCCCCTAACTCCCCGCCCACCAGGCTGCCACGTGACACTGAGCAGAGTTCTCTGAGCTATACGGCAGTTGACCTAATCTTAAGTGACAGAGAACATTTACCTTGCTGAGGAAATAACGTTAAATCTAAGATTTGAAGATTAAAGGGGAGCTAGCCAGATGAGTAGTAGCAAGACGAGTGGCAGATTGCAAACACGGAAGCAGCATCAGGGATGACCTGGTGGTTAGAGAGTAGTGCATTTGAGGAGCTTGAGAGAAGGCGTGTGTGGCATGGACCATGTCTGGCTTGTTCAGCATTACGTCGCCAGTGCTTAGTACAGTGTGTGGTCCATTGTAGGCATTTCATAAATGTTCATGGAGTGAATAAGTGAGTAGAGAAGGGGGGGAGAGAGATTTGAGATGAGGTGGTAGATAGGAACCAAGCCATGGAGGACCTTATAACTCATGCTAAGAATCTTGGGCTTTAACTAAAGGCCATGGGAAAACCTTTTGGTAGATTTTAAGCAAGAAAATGACATGCTTATATATTTGATTTTAAAAGATCTTTCTAGAATTTCAGATTCTTTACCACTGAGCCACCAGATCCAATTGGGAGGAAGAAGCTAAAAGTCTAAGAGAGAGGGAAGAAAAAAGCAGCAAGGTCCCTAAGGAGAAAGGAGGGTATGGGGTCCTTTTCAAGTAGAGGAATGAACATTTGGTGGGAGGACGGAAGAGAGGACAGGTAGGAATGCAAGTAAGTTAGATTTGGTAGCAGCAAATCGAGGGAGCTTCCAATGACTGAAATGGGAGATGTATGTAAGTAATGAGGTACTGGAGCGGGTCTCGGTAATTTGACAGGAGTATAGATGTTTTCAAAGAATCATTATGGGGAAAGGAAGAGAAAACTGATTAGAGAAATGTATCGTAGCCTGTTAGGGGTGAGGATCCAGTGGAGGGGAGTAGCCGTGAATTTACTGTGGCATCCTATTCTCTATGATGATTATTTTCAGTAAAGATTTATCCAAGGGAGTGATAGCTTATGGTGAACGATCTTGGATTCGTGATCTCTGAAAAAGATTTAACTTTGGGACCAGGGACCAGCGTTGATCACTCAAGAGCTTTTGTATAGCAGAGTTTTATTAAAGTGAAAAGGGACTGAGAAAGCTTCTGACATGGACATTAGAAGGGGGACGGAGAATGCTGCCACCCACCCCCCTATCCCTGCCAGCTAGTCTTATCAAGGCCTTATCAGACCCATTCCCATAACATACATCTTAAATTAATAAGATTAGAACCAACAATAGAAAGATCTTACCACCCACCCCCATAATCCACATTTTAAGATGACAGGATTAGTCAGAAGGTTCTTGTTAAGGAGAAACATATCATTGAGCAAGATACATTGTTATATTGACTAAGACAAAGCAATGTAGAAAGAAGGTTTGACCTTTTCTCCTTGAGAGCCCCAGACCCCTTTCTTCTCCTCAGAAACCTTGGGCTTCTTATCAACCTACCTAGGAATTGACTCTCATGAGCAATGAAGGTTGAGTAGAGCAGATTCATAACATTCATTGTCATTATCACAAATTATTTTTTATTTTAAAAGGTTTTGATCCTGTTGCTGGGTCTCTTAGTCTTCATAGAACATTGTTCTGCTACCAAAAATGGTACCATTAAAATGACTGCCTTAACATTGACACTGTGCCCTTGGGACAGACTTATAGGTCAAGATTTATGAAATGTGTAGTTTGCACAGTTTGACAAGTGATTCTGAGTCAGAAGTTCCTAACCATGTTTCTCATAAAATCATATAGGAAGAGCCACTATCTATCATATAAGTATTTTGTGTTTAAGAAATGAATTTAGATATGGTTTTACTTCTTCAGTTTGCTAACTGGGAAAGCATCTGTATTTATGTTCTCTTTTTTAGGGGCAAAGAGGCCCCGGGCTACTTCTAGTGGTGTATCAGAGTCTCCTGGTGGATTCTCTAAACATATTCAATCCAACTTGGACTTCTCTCCAGTAAACTGTGCTTCTAGGTAAGGTCGGTTAATAATTAATAAAAAATCAAGTAGTTGTTGGATATAATAGTCCGCATGAAAAACAATCCATGTATTTAATGTTTTAAGATGAATATAATTTTTTTCAGTGTGAGAATGGTAATGCCATATAATAAAGGCCTAAAGAACTTGATTTAAAGGTATATTTTTCTCCATATCCTAATGCCTCAGTGAAGAAAGTGTGAAGTACTCCAGTTCTCAGCCAGAACCACGGACAGGCCTTTCCTTATGGGACACCAGCCCTTCATACATTGACAAACTGGTACAAGGGATCAGCTTTTCCCAGCCCACTTGTCCTGATCACATGCTTCTAAATAGTCAGTTGCTTGGCACTCCAGGATCGTCACAGGTAAGGGAATTTAGTTCCTCAAATAATAATGGCAACTCTTATTTTTTATTGTCTTAAAGTCTTTTTTTTTTGGTCAATCTAAGAAATACAGTATTAACACTTGATACAGTTTTGTTTTTGTTTTTGTTTTTTTTGACGTGGAGGAGAGAATTAGGGGAGACTTTTTTTTTTTAATGTTTATTTATTTGGCTGCACTGGGTTTTAGTTGTGGCACACAAGATCTTCAGTCTTCATTGCAGGATGTGGGATCTAGTTCCCTGACCCAGGATCAAACCTGGGCCCACTGCATTGAGAGTGCAGTCTTAGCCACTGGGCCACCAGAGAAATCCCGAGACTCAAGACTTTCTTTCCTCTTTTTTTAGCCACACCATGGCATGTGGGTTCTTAGTTCCTTAACCGGGGATTGAACCCTGGCCTCTGGCACTGGAAGCAGAGTCCTGACGCCTGGGCTGCCAGGGAATTCCCTAGGGGAGACACTTATGTATAAGAATCTGAAGTCAGAAAAAAGAATTTTCAAGCCAAATAGCTATAGTATGATTACTTTTGGTGGTAAGTCTGATAATTTATTCAGCTTTCCTCTGTTTGACTTGTAGAACCCCTGGCAGCGCTTAGTCAAAAGAATGACGCGATTTTTTACCAAACTGGATGCAGACAAATCTTATCAATGCCTGAAAGAGACTTGTGAGAAATTGGGCTATCAGTGGAAGAAAAGTTGTATGAATCAGGTATGTTTCATTGATTTTTGTTAGATCTTTTCCTGAAGAAAAATTTAAAATATTTGAGTAAAATAAGAGATATCATTCTGTGGTTGATTCATGTTGATATTTGGTAGAAATCAATACAATACTGTAAAGCAATTACCCTTCATTTAAAAATAAATTTAAAAGTGCTATCATTTTATGTATATATTAAAATTTAAAGTAATTAGTCTAATTTGAAAAAGAAACCATTGAAATTTAAGTACAGTGTTTTTTCCTTAAGAACTAGAATTTCTTAAAAGAAGACTTCTCTAAGGTTATTACAAATACTAAGAGATTCAAGTCTTATTTTCTTTAAAACTATACATTATACTTAAATTGTAACAGCAATGAGCTTCCTTCTGTGAAAGATGGGTCCATTAACAATTCCATGCTTCCTCCATCTTCCCTGCTCCCAACTGCCAATTTTTGTTGTTTACATTGTTATAGCATATTTATAATAGACATTCTGATCTGTCTTTAGGCTTTTCAAAAGTCTTAATATTGTGAAAAACAAAGAGAAAGGAATATTTTGTATTCAAGGAGACTAAAGAGGCTTGATAAATAATGTAATGCATGATCTTTCACTAGATCATGGATTTAAAGAAAAAGAAAGCTATAAATGATGTTATTAGAACAATTGGGGAAATTTGAATGTGAGTTTTATGTTAGATAATGTTTTTGTATCAGTGTCAGATTTCTTTTTTTTTTTTCTTCTTTCTGATAAGTGTCAGATTTCTTTGGTGTGATCATAATACTGTGGTTTGTAAGAGAATGTCTGCAGGAGATACATGGTAAAGTGTGTGTAATTTATAACTTAGTTTAAAAACTAAAAAAAAAAGACAATCACGTAAAAAAGAAGTAAACATGCTTATCTAGCTTTATAAGGCCAATAAACATTTGTGGTTATTTATTGTAGGATTCTTTCAGTTTTTCTGTAGATTTGTAAACTTTCAAAATTAAAAGTTAGGGGAAAATGTTACTATGAGGAAACCTGAAGCCAGCCTGATTATACTCTCACTTATATAGATATCTTACTCCTTTTTTTTTTTTTTAGGTAGATTTATTGAGATAAAGCTCACATGATATAAAAATCATCACTTTAACCATTTTAAAGTACACAATTTAGTGTTTTTAAGTATGTTCACAGGATTGTGGAATTATCACCATTTAAATATAGAACTTCCCACTGCCCCCCAAATAAACTCTGTACCAATTAGCGGTCATTCTTCGTTCCTTCCTCCCTGGCAATCACTAATATACTTTCTGTGGATTACCTATTTCTGGGCATTTCCTATAAATGGAATCATATAGTGTATGACCCTTTGTGTTTGTCTTCTTTTACTTAATATAGTATTTTCAAGGTTAATTCATGTTGTAGCATTTATCAATACTTTATTCCTTTTAATGGGTGAATGATAGCCTGTTACATGGATAGTCTGTTTTGTGTAAGCATTTATCTATTGATGCACATTTGGGATAATGTATCTACTTTTTGGCTGTTATGAATAATGATGAATAATGCTGCTGTGATCATTCGGGTTTCTGTGTGAAGACAGGTATTTTAGTTTGCAAGGGCCATTGTAACAACATACCACAGACTAGGAGGTATTTGTTTGTTTATTTACAGAAATTTATTTTCTCACAGCTCTAGACACTGAAGTCCAAGACCAAGGTTCTGGCAGGGCTGGTTTCCTCTGGAACCTTGGCTTTTAAGTGGCCACCCTCTTGCTGTCTGCTCCTATGCTCTGTCCTCTGTGCACACCTCCACTGAATCTGTCACTTTCTGTATCCTGATTTCATTTTCTAATGAAGACACCAGTCAGATTGGATTAGGGCCCTCTGAATGGTCTTCTTTGAACCTAGTCACCTCTAAATTAAAAGACACTTGCTCCTTGGAAGAAAAGCAGTGACAAGCCTAGATAGCATATTAAAAAGCAGAGACATTATTTTGCCAACAAAGGACTGTATATATAGTCCAAGCTATGATTTTTCCAGTAGTCATGTATGAATGTGAGAGCTGGACCAGAAAGAAGGCTAAGCACCAAAGAATTGATGCCTTTGAACTGTGGTGCTGCAGGAGATTCTTGAGAGTCCCTTGGACTGCAGGGAGGTCAAACCAGTCAATCCTAAAGGAAATCAACCCTGAATATTCATTGGAAGGACTGATGCTAAAGCTGAAGCTCCAATACTTTGGCCACTTGATGCAAAGCCAACTTATTGGCAAAGACCCTGATGCTGTGAAAGATTGAAGGCAGGAGACAGGGACGACAGAGGATGAGATGATTGGATGGCATCATCACCCTAGTGGGCATGAATTTGAGCAAGCTCTGGGAGATGGTGAAGGACAGTCCCTGGGGTCGCAAAGAGTTGGACACAACTGAGCAACTGAACAACAAGTACCTCTTTAAAGAGGTCTTATCTCCAAAATAGCCATGTTCTGAGGCATTGGGAGTTAGGGTTTCAACATCTGAATTTTGAGGGGACACGTTTCAGTCCAGAAGGAGATGTTTTCAATTTCTTTGGTATATACCTGTGATCAGAATTGCTGGGCATACAATAACTCTTGTGTTTATCTTTTGAGGAACTGCCAAATGATTTTTCAAAGCAGTGACACCATTTTACATTCCTACCAGCCATGTATGAGGGTTCCAATTTCTCTTCATCCTTGTCAACACTTGTTATTGTTTCTTTTTAATGAAAGCCCTCCCTGTGTGACAGAGAAGGCAATGGCAAAGCCACTCCAGTACTCTTGCCTAGAAAATCCCATGGTCGGAGGAGCCTGGTGGGCTGCAGTCCTTGGGTTTGTTACAAGTTGGACGCGACTGAGTGACTGAGCGACTTCACTTTCACACATTGGAGAAGGAAATGGCAACCCACTCCAGTGTGCTTGCCTGGAGAATCCCAGGGACAGGGGAGCCTGGTGGGCTGCCGCTTATGGGGTTGCACAGTCGGACACTACTAAAGTGACTTAGCAGCAGCTCCCTGTGTGAGGTGAGAATTATTAAAAATGTTTTTGTACTTTGGGCTGGGCTTAGCTAGACAAATCTGCTGATCTTAACTTGGGCTTATCCGTCCAGCTGAAGTTGATGGCTTTTCTGTGGCTGGTGGTCCAAGACAGCCTCATCCACCTTTGGAGTCTTGGTACTGGCTGTTGGCTGGGCCTTTCTTTCTATGTCCATCTTCTAGCCTGTGCTTCTAAAACAGTGAAAGTGGAAGTTGAAAGACCTCTTAGAACCTTCGCCATCTTCTGATCACTGTTGTAGCTTTTTACCCAAAAACCTAACCTCTCTTTTTCTTTCTTCTGTTTTAATAATCTTGTTTTCCCTCTCATTCTGGTTTCATTCTCTTCAACTGTTTCTTCTTTCAGTTGTATTTTGATAAAACACTAAATTTCTTCTGTTGCTAAGTGTTCACATAGACTCAATCCCCAGTGATGGCGCTGCATCCTGTTTACAGGTCGGTCTGAGTGGACACACATGTACCCGTCGGGAGAGGAAAGTCCTGGAAGGAATGGGATGTTTGGCGGCACTGCTCCTGTTGTAGAAGCTTTTCTCAAGTTTGCATCCCAGCAGTATCACTGAACTGAGATTATAGTTTTTATTTAGAGTATTTTCTACCCACACATATGCTTTAACCTTATTTTTATTGTCTTAGGTTACTGTATCAACAACTGATAGAAGAAACAATAAGCTGATTTTCAAAGTGAATCTGGTAGAAATGGATGAGAAGATCTTAGTTGACTTCCGGCTTTCTAAGGTATATAGATTAGCACATTTTTTAAGAGAGAAAGCTTTGTTTTGCTATTTTTGAAGTATTACATGTTCATTTTAGAAATTTTAAAAACACAAAGTGTAAAGAAGAAAGTAAGAATCAAGTCATCCACAGAAAACAGATTTATTTTTGAGACTGTATTAGAATAACCTTACTATTACTTGTAATACATGCTATATGGAAATACTCTTATGTGGAGATTTTTTTTTTTACTGGCATTATATTTTAGATATATGTTAACTTGTTTTTTTTTATTTAATATTATGAACATTTGTTCTTGTCATTATCTATTCTTCCAAAACAGTTTTTCAAATAACATTCCTTATTATAAAAGTTTTTGTTTTTTGTGTAATCTGTAAATAACAAAGAAAATAAAAATAGTCATAAATTATTTTTATCTTTAATTACCTTTGGCATTTTGTAGCATTCTGAGCTTTTACTTATTGAATTTGTATATAGTATTTTTCATAAAAATTGTGATTTGTCAAAATGTTTGCACATTATAGTTAATGAAACTTTATCTGTTATAAGCTACTTTGTGATTCATACTCATATACAGAGTTTTATTCACATTTCTGATTCTTTCTTTAGAAATTAGTAGTTCTGAGGTTATAGTTTTAAAGCCCTTGATACACAAGACCAAAATAGCATTTTCTCTATTTCCTGAAAGATTGTACATGGCTCTAAACAAGGCTGGAAGAGTTGGTCACTTTCTTTATATTGGCAGCTTGCTGCAGTACTATTGTCCAAATGCTTGGTATGGAATTAAATTAAGATCCTAGAGTAGTGAAATCCTTCTCATAACTGAATCACTGGCTTTGTTGCCACAGTGTTTTGGCAAGACTTAAGTGTAGTCGTGTAGCTAATTTTTAGTTTATAAACTCCCAGTGCCTATGAAAAACAGTGACCTAGGTCCAGAGCTCTCAACAATTGAAATGAACAAGATGCCATTGGTTTCTGCTCTCTGGGCCCAGTGTAATGGGCCCAAAATCAAATCAGAATTATTTATGTAGGCATTTCTTCTACATGGGCTTCCATTTTAGCTCAGCTGGTAAAGAATCTGCCTGCAATATGGGAGGCCTGGGTTCGATCCCTGGGTTGGGAAGATCCTTTGCAGAAGGGAATGGCTACCTACTTCAGTATTCTTGCCTGGAGAATTCCATGGACTGTATAATCCATGGGGTCACAAAGAGTCGGATACAACTGAGCGACTCTCACTTTCACTTTTCTTCTATGAAGTTGTTTTGTCTTTGTAAGAGGACCTGAAGATGAGGATAGCTGGACATATCTATGCATGTTTGTCTCTATGTACCACTAAAGAAAGTTTGATTTTATGACATAGTCTTTTTTTTTTTTTTAACATGAGTTTTGGCTTTTATTCCTATTATAGGGTGATGGATTGGAATTCAAGAGACACTTCCTGAAGATCAAGGGGAAACTGAGTGATGTTGTGAGCAGCCAGAAGGTTTGGCTTCCTGTCACATGATAGATCCACTGGTTCTGGGATTCCTGGTGAATATAGTGCTGCTATGTGGACATTATTCTTCCTAGAGAAGATTATCTATTCTGCAAACTGCAAACAATAGTCCCTGAAGAGTTGTCTTCCCTCTAGCCAAACATTTTCCAATTCTTCTGTATATTCTTCATACAAATAATATCTGTATCTTAACTGTAAGTGAAACTTTGGGGAAAGGGTGGATAGAATTCATTTAGATAGTCCTTCATGTGCATTTAGCATCTGAATTGAGACCCGCCTGGTGGAAACCATGCTCTGGGGTTACATGAGTTTACCAGCATTTATACCAATATAATGAAAAATTATACTCTTGTCCCATTCTACCAAAACATTTGGTTCCATCCAAAAAGTACATATTTCCTGCACATTGACTTAATCACATGGATAAATTAGTAAAAAAAACAAAAACCTTGTTATTTGTGGGGCAGTAAATTTATCAGTCAGTCTGAAGTGAAGCCAGCTTCAAAATGTATACCCCAAGATTTGTACTTAAAAGGGCCTGACCAGGTACATAAAGCTGTTTTTGAACAATAATTAAAATTGCAAGTTGGTATGTTTTTTTCTGGTATAGTTAATATGTATGATTGGTCTTTCAAATAGAAGTTGAGCATAAATTCTAGTGCTTAACAATCTTTACTCGGAATTACTGTTGCACATTTTAAATATTTTTCTATATTATTTTCTACTTTCACAGCCATATTTTAATTCTTTATTACAGAAATAAATTCTATTTTGAAAATGAATAGCTAACTCTGCAAACTCATTGGTGACTAAACTTCTAGACAGTGAGGAATGAAAGAGGCTGGAGACGTAAGAAAGTAATGGAAATTGATCTGATTCCTGGCTTTTTTCACCTGTTAATTTTAGTAAGATCTTGTTCTTTCAATACAATTTATATTAACATTTGAATGTGTTAGATTGGGTCCCAGTATTCCCATTTCTTGGTGATTTATAAAAATTAGCCAGTTATTCTAGTCTGAAGCCAAGAACATGAAACTTTATAGAGTTTATTATATATTGTGTATCTTGGTAAATGGCATTATTGTGGCATAGCTGTCGTTTTTCAAATAGTCACGTAAAGATGTGAGAGCTGGACCATGAGGAAGACTGAGCACCGAAGAATTGATGCTTTTGAACTGTGGCATTGGAGAAGACTCTTGAGAGTCCCTTGGACTGCAAAGAGATCCAACCAGTCCATCCTAAAGGAGATTAGTCCTGAATATTCACTGGAGGACTGATGCTGAAGCTGAAACTCCAGTACTTTGGCCACCTGATGTGAAGAACCAACTCATTGGAAAAGACCCTGATGCTGGGAAACATTGAAGACAAGAGGAGAAGGGGACGACAGAGGATGAGATGGTTGGATGGCATCACTGATTCAATGGACATGAGTTTGAGCGAATTCTGGGAGATTGTGAAGGACAGGGAGGCCCGCGTGCTGCAGTCCATGGGGTCAAAAAGAGTCAAGACACGAGTGACTGAGCAACAACAACCCGCAGGAGGAATAAATTTAAACCGATAGGCAGCTTCTAAGAATTAAGCCAGTACATTCTCAAATAAGAAATTTTGTTCTTGAGAATTGTCAGCCAGGGAATTCTCTGGCAGTCCAGTGGTTCAGACTCTGAGCTTCCACTGCAGGGAGCGAGGGTTTGATCCCTAGTTGGGGAACTAAGTTCCCACATGCCACACAGCATGTCCAAAAGAATAAGAGAAGAGAGAGAATTGTCAGCCAGCCATTGGTAACTCTCATAAACAAAGTTGTCCCTGGCTTTGACATCTCCCCTGAACTCTAGACTTTTACAACCATGGTCTACCTGACATTTCCCCTTGACTAATAGTCATCTCCTGACCAAATAGAACTTTTGATCCCTGTCCTCCAACCTACTCCTCCCTAGTTCCCCCCACCTCAATAAATGCCACATTTAGCCCCCTAGTTTCTTAAGCTAAAACTCTAGAAATCATCCTTGATACAGTTTTCATACTCTGAATTCAGTTCAGCAGCTCCTATTTAGTTCAGCAAATATGTACAAAATAGGGCTTCCCAGGTGGCACTGCTGGTAAAGAACCTGCCTGCCAATGCAGCAGACATAAGAGACTCAAGTTCACTCCCTAGGTTGGGAAGATCTCCTGGAGGAGGGCATGGCAACCCACCCCAGTATACTTGCCTGGAAAATCCATGGACAGAGGAGCCTGGTGGGCCGCAGTCCACAGGGTCACAGAGTCGGACACGACTGAGCCACTGAACAACAACATGTGCACTCCCATTCTGTGGCTTATTTCAGACTTTGTGTAAGATTGTAGTTTTAATATAGTTCAATTAAGACTTTTCCTCTGTCTAGCAATTTTTGTTTCCTACTTAAACACTCATTCCCTACTTCAAAATCATGAAGATTTTCTTTTCTGTTATCTTCCAAAAGCTTTATAGTTTTGGCTTTCACCTTTAGATCTACAGTTTACCTGAAAATGATTTTTGTGTATAATAGGTCAGGTAACATTTTTTCCCCATATGGCTATCTAATTTAGCTCTGGTGAAAAGATTATCCTTTCCCCATGGTTCTTCATTGACATCCATCTAGTGTTCAGATTTCCAATTCTTACTTTTTACAGTTTTTTGAATCAGGATAGAAATAAAGTCCATACTAGAAATTGACTGATGTCTAAGGTGCTTCTGGTTGTAAGTGCCCACTTTGTTCTCCCTCTGTCTGATTTTTTTCTCCTTGTAATTTATTGGTATAAGAACCCAGCTGGTTTATTGTTTCATTCTTAGTCCGAATTTGCATCACTGTGGTTCAGTTTCTCCAGGTTTCACCTGCCCTCTGTGTTTTCTGTAAATGGAGACATTTGGGCTCCTCTGGTGGCTCAGATGGGAAAGAATCTGCCTGCAGAGAACGAGACCTAGATTTGATCCTGCGTCAGGAAGATCCCCTGGAGCAGGGAATCTTCTCCCTTCCCCAGGAATACCCACTTCAGTATTCTTGCCTGGAGATTTCCATGGACAGGAGCCTGGCGGGCTTCCAGGCCATGGGATCAGTAACAGTCGAACACAACTGAGTGATGAACACTCACTTTTTACTTTTAGGATACTAGTCCTGTGTCAATTTTATGTGTTGCATACAAGTGTTTAAAATCATGCATTTCTCTCTCTAAGTTTCACTGTACTTAATGCCACAAATTTTCATGTGTTGTATTTTTGTTACCTGGCTCAAATTTTTTTTTCTAATTATTTTATTGTTTATATTTTGACTCATGGATCATTTAGAATTGTGTTTTTATTTCCAAACCTTTGGGAGTCTGTTTATTCATATGACTCTAATTTCCTTTAGGTTCTTTCCCCCCTTTTAAATTAATTTTAAAATTTTGGATTCATTTATCTTTAAGCATGATTGACTTGTATTTTATTATTTTCAGGTGTTAAATGTAGTGATTTGATATTTTTCTAGATTTTTTTTAATGTGGGCTATTTTTAAAGTCTTTATTGAATTCATTACAGTATTGCTTCTCTTGTTTATGTTCTGGTTTTTTTTGGCCATGAGGGATGTGTGCTCTTAGTTCCCTAACTAGGGATCGAATCTTCACTCTCTGCATCGGAAGGTGAAGTCTTAACCATTGGACTTCAGAGAAGTCCCTGGTATTTTTATACGTTACAAATGATCACCACAATAAGTCTAGTTAACATCTGTTACCATACAAAGTTACTACAGTATTGTTCACTGTGTTTCCTATGCTGTACATTACATTCCCCTGACTTCCTTTGTTCCTGGAAGTTTGTACCTCTTAATCCTCTCCTTTAGGTTTTTGAACATATCTCAAATAGTTGTTTATTGCTTTTGTTCATTAATTTCAATGTCTGGTTCATCTTGAGACCAGTATCTTTTTTTTTTTTAATTTTTTTAGCTATGAGTTACATTTTCCTTTTTTTTTTCCCCTGATAATTTGTTTTATGTGGTGGACACAGTGAATGATGCATCTGAGAGATTCTGGACTCTGTTCCTCTGAGGAGAACTGACATTTGTTCTGGTGGGTAGGTAACTTGGGTTGACCTGAACTCCAAAGCTGGTCTTCCTTGAGGTGGACAACAGCCAAAATCTCTGCTCAGTTCTCTCTGCTTCCAGGTACTCTTGTTGAGCCTCCCAGAGTCAGTGTCAACCAAGAATTTGGTCACAGTTTATACTCAAGTTTTGGAGTTTATCCCCTCTGTAGTTCCCTTTCCAGGATTTCCCCCTAATTTTACAGCTGCTCTGCCAACTCCAGCCTATGTTCTCTGACCTCAAGCCAGTAAACTGGATTTTTGCCACTCTATGACATGTGGATTGAGAATACCCTTAGGCGTAAAGGCTCAGAACTATCTATCTCACCCAGTGCTATCCTAGTCTTTTTAGGGGTGACTTCTCTCTGGTTCCCTTTCGAGAAATTTTTAAGTAGTTGTTTCTAATTTTTGGTTCATAGTTTTAAATTCTTATCTGAAGGAAGGTTAGTTCATCCAAACTAATCCACCATTCAATTCAGTTCAGTCGCTCAGCCGTGTCCAACTCTTTGCGACCCCATGGACTGCAACACAGCAGGCCTCCCTGTCCATCACTAACTCCCAGAGTTTACTCAAACTCATGTCCACTGAGTTGGTGATGCCAGCCAACCATCTCACCCTCTGTTGTCCCCTTCTCCTCCCGCCTTCAATGTTTCCCAGTATCAGGGTCTTTTCAAATGAGTCAGTTCTTCACATCAGATGGCCAAAGCATTGGAGTTTCAGCTTTAACATCAGTCCTTCCAATAAATATTCAGGACTGATTTCCTTTAGGATGGACTGGTTGGATGTCCTTGCAGTTCAAGGGACTCTCAAGAGTCTTATCCAACACCACGGTTCAAAAGCATCAATTCTTCTGCGCTCAGCTTTCTTTATACTCCAACTCTCACATCCATACATGCTGTTGCTGCTGCTGCTAAGTCACTTCAGTCATGTCGGACTCTGTGCCACCCCATAGATGACATCCCACCAGGCTCCTCTGTTCACAGGATTCTCCAGGCAAGAATACTGGGGTGGGTTGCCATTTCCTTCTCCCCATCCATACATGACTACTGGAAAACCATAGCTTTGACTAAACGGGGCTTCATTGGCAAAGTATGTCTCTGCTTTGTAATATGCTGTCTAGGTCGCTCATAACTTTTCTTCAAAGGAGTAAGTGTCTTTTAATTTCAGTCACCATCAGCAATGATTTTGGAGCCAAAAAAAAAAAAAAATAAATGAATAAAGTCAGCCACTGTTTCCACTGTTTCCCCATCAATTTGCCATGAAGTGATGGGACCAGATGCCATGATCTTAGTTTTCTGAATGTTGAGCTTTAAGCCAACTTTTTCACTCTCCTCTTTCACTTTCATCAAGAGGCTTTTTAGTTTCTCTTCACTTTCTGCCATAAGGGTGGTGTCATCTGCATATCTGAGGTTATTGATATTTCTCC